GGTAGCGGCCGTCGTCGTCGTCGTCGCCGTGAACTTTACAGAAAAAAACGTCAACTGTGCGTCTACATTTTGCGTGATTTTTTTTCTAATGCATTCTTTCTCAATACTTATGTAACTCTGCTTCAGATCTAGCTGTGATCAGTTCGAGTCTACTCGCTCATTTGTGCAAATCACAATACGTATAGCCTACCCGAGAAAGTGTGGCGTATCATCGTCTTGCAAAACAGGATTTGTCGATGATATTTTAGCTCTTTTTAATACACATGCTTCAAGTTTTCCAGCGACATTTGTATTTGCTGACGGACGCTCCATTCTACTCGTTCTATTCGCTTGCAAAAAAACCAGTGATTTTCCATTATTCATTATTTCAAGTGCTACAACTAGAACTATAACAACAACGAAAGGTAAAATTTTTTCTGTGTCATAGATTTTGGTATACGTCGGCATGTATATTTTCGCTTTTCAGTTTTAAGACCTTAGCTTAGGAGCAAAATTTTTAACTATTGAATGCTTTACAATTTTTTTCTGAGATAATACTCATAAATATAAATTAATCAACGAGTGAAACCTAATACTTAAAGAATATTCAATGCCTTAACTTTTATGAAGCTCATAAGACAAGAAATCTGATTATGCTTATGTTTCAGCATAGTAGAATAGTCTTGATAGTAGGTCACGTATCATTCAAATGTCATTTATGAGATATTATGAGATGTCATTCTTGACTAGCTAGCATTGGGATATTCTTTATCCGCTATGAATCGTGATCAAACTACGTTTGTACACATTTCTTTTCGCATTGAAGTTGAATAGAAATAAAAATGCTCAGTAAGTAAAACTCATCGTTAATAAATTCTTGTTGGTGAGAATTTTTTAGTCATGAATCCTTTCTGTGATAAATTGTCAATTATCGGCTCAGCATTACTCTACTAAGGTTGACTTATATTATAAAATATTATGCACAAAAAATGTTTAATATTTTTTTTTGTCCATCACACTGAAGATTTCGAGTGAACTTGACCCAGAAAATTCCATCAATAAAGTGCTGTGAGAGCCACCGGTTTGTTTACCAGAGTTGAAACCAGTAGAGGTTTTTCTAACCGTTACCAGTACCATTATAAATCGTTCGGACGGATACGATCGGCCAATATATCGGTATGAGTCATTCATTCTGTTTTTTTGATTTTAGAACAACCAAGTCAACTCTCTGATGGGTCATATCAACGGCCTAATCGCTATAATAAAGATACAACAATCGTTTGACTTTGTCACTGATTCTGACTAAGACCTTAAGGATCGAAAAATCGTCCGATTGCCATGCGAACTTTCAAGTAGTTGGTCGTGAGCTTTCTCTTTAATGCAATGCCTAGCAGCCTATTCATGAGTTTTTTTCGCATCTTTATACAGTATGAAGCACCAAATTGATGTATTAGATCATATCATGTAAACTATAATAGAGAGATCCATGTCCCGAGAAGGTATCAATGTTTTACAATTATTTGTATAGATTTTCGTCAATCTTCAATAAGTACCACGAATAGTGATTGTAATGTTTGGAACTTTTTATTTTTCTCGAGATGATGAAAATTGACATACCAGTGAATGGTAATAGCAGAGCAGAGATCAGTATGATAAAAAAGTGATTGTTTCCAAAAAGTTGAGGCTGCTTCATCTATCTGCCGCCGAGTTTATTTTTCTGGAAGTTTGCATCAATTTACGTATATTATGTTGCGATGATCTCGGGATTGATTGGAAGCACATCTTATTCCTAGTTCAACGCGAATGAAAGATTTCATACCACGAAATGCGAGCTGTCGCCTAGGAAAGAACTCGTACTACTTGAAAGATGTTTTCAGCTTAACGAATATCAATCGATAATATTGTACATACACACCGCATTTCACACACTGAACAAAGATCATATGCCATCTACGTAGTTCTACTGATATTCTTCCACATTAAAATTCTGTATATTCTTTTAGCCCCCGTCTGCTCGCTTCAATGGAATCCAATAGGCACTACTGTAGCCGGGGATCCTAATGGTGCCGCTGGTATTGCACTCAATCAGCTCGACGGTCCTAATGATTTAATCTTGGATTCATCCAATGCACTTTATATCGCTGATACTCTAAATAACAGAATCCAAAAGTGGGTGATCGGTGCCGCACAGGGTGCGACAGTGGCTGGTCAAAAAGATAGAACTGCGGGAAATGGTATAGATCAGCTTGAGAAACCTAATGGTCTCGATATCGACTCAAGTGGTAATATCTATGTATTAGATTCCAATAATGACAGAGTTCAGTCCTGGCTACTAGGATCAGTTGCGGGCTCAACAATTGCTGGCACAGGTAGGATAGCTTGAGGTTTAAACGATAATCATAACGACTTCAGCCTAAAATTTGGCGATATTTTTCCCGATTAATTGTGTATACCTTTAAAATCGTCAATTATCACGGAAAATCGAGAAAAAGACGCTGAAATTTGAGATTAATTTCGATTAATAGCTGGTTTCTATGCAATACTTTAGGAGTGGATAGTATGCATCTAAGCTAGCTTTTAGAAGCTTTGAACTCCTTTGAAATTTATTAAAACAAGTAGTGATATTCTGTATCGTTTCAACCAAATGATGATCTTCTATTCTTTGATTGAGAAATATTTGTCTTGTTTTGTTTTCCTGCTAAAGAATACATAGTATGAATTTCTTTAAAAGTCTCGTGAAATCGAATTGGTTAATATAGATACTCGAAAAAAACTTTCAGTTAAATTGAAAAGAAGACTGAAGATCAGATGCTGACTTCGAGAAAGAATAATGAAACCATTAGGTTACAAGCCTCTCACTTTTGATTTCATCTAACGATCAAAGTAGTCAAACAGTTATCTTAACTTCAAGCTCATACATTGTCCCTCAGTACTCTTTAAAAAAACAGGTGTCATACAAAATCTTAAAAGGTTCTAGCTCGCCTTTTTTTTAGGGAGGAGGCATTAATATTACTAGAAGAGGCCTTAAAATATTCGTGCATGTAAACCAAGGAAGTTGAGTGGTCTGAAGTTTACTACATTTTCGATATCTTGAATGGTATTTACGCAGACATAAAATAAAATATTTGCGATCCCAAGTTTGACTCCTACATTTAGACGAAATAACTGTTATAGTATACTCTAATAGTTGTATTCAAGAATAAGCCTTCTTCTCTAGGTACTAACCTTTCACAGTGTTGCTCAAAAATATCAGCTATACTGGAACTCAAGCTTTCTAAAGTACTATTAGTCGAAACTTTTGCAAGGATACTTTTCTTAGTGCACTCTGATTGATGACATAAATTGTAGTCTGAATATTTTGGTATTTCATGAAATCTGAAACTCCATGTTATCCATGCTACGATTCTGATCCTTCGTAGAAGTTACAATACTTTTGACTGTTTTACTCATCAACATGTACCTAGTCAATAGAGCTTTAAGCACACAAAATACGAATCGATTTCACTGAGCTCTAACACATTGATAACCATTTTACTGGTTGTCTCACTTTTTCAGAAATCTTATATCACCACTCTGGATATCGTAGCTTCTCATGAGCACAATATTCTGCGACGAAGGTTTTACCAAATATTTTGTAGGTCCTATTCTACTTTGAAGTTGAGTCTTATCTTCATTCTCACCCTCACACACTCTCAACCACAATAGTTATAGCTCAAAAGCTTAAGCTGTGAGTACAGAATTGTTTAAAAACACTATGTTCTGCAGAGCTCGTCTATTGTTACATAATGCGCACTGATCAACTAACATATATACACATAGTAAGTTCTATTTTCACTCAGCTTTCTTGTACATTTCTATTGTTCATCTTAAAAGATATCTCACCTCTCAAGCTATTTTCATAGTTGTTCAAGTCACTAGCTCAGAGTATAGCCATATTTGGGATGAACAAAATACGATAGGAATGATGTTTGAATTTTCAACGATATTACACGAATTCTAATGTTCTTCAATTGGATAGTCGACTTTTTGGCTAGAATTATTTAATTAAATTTCAAACAGTTGCTGCTTCCTATAGAGAATTATTAAATACTCAATCAATTTTCGAATTTTGCTAGCAAAAAATACGAACATTGCTAGCAAAAAATACGAACATTGCTAGCAAAAAATACGAACATTGCTGCATTCCATAAATTATTAATATTCGGGCATTGAATTTTCTCAATTATCATTAAAAACGTCACCATATTCAACAGCAAAATAGAGATAAGGAATCATTTTCCAGTTACTTCTATAAGAATAAATTTTTCTTAAATCAATCAGATTGAGATCTGAATTTTACTGGTCAAATTTTTTAAGACCTGTTTCCTATAGTTGGTACCACTGGTGATGCTATCTGTGCATTCTTGTATATGAAATAATATTTATAAAACAAAGATTCACTTTGGGTTAAAAAATTAAAGATTTTTATGTCAACAACAGAATTGATTGTTATGCGATACCTTCAGAAGATACATTGTTTCAATAAATTTTCATTGAGGTAAATGACAAATACAAGCCGTTCTGAATTTGAAAGTCAAGTGTGCCCGAATATTTATTTGTAAAACCTTCAATTACCACCTTCCTTGTGCAATATTTCAACATTTTCAACAAAAAAAATGCCTCTTAAAATTGCTTTCAGGCAGTACTAAATATACGTGTCAATCCTAAAGCAAGAGTATCCGATTGTCTGCAATGCTCGCTAGATCGAAAGGATATTTAAAAACAAGCAAAGATAGGTTTACGGTGACGAGTTCCTAGGACTTCAGTACATAACATAAGAAAAATAACGGAAAGCAATAATTGCCCAAAATATTTCTAAGATTACATATAGCAGCCCAATCTATGATTGAGCTCTGCTCGGTTTTTATCTAGTGCTCAAAAAAATCCGAGATACGTCACTACTCTCTTCTGAAATGAAACCCTGTTTTGTGAAAGAGATCATTCGAAAACCTTCATCACATATTGTTGTGTTTCGTTGAAACATGTGGGTATTTTCAGGAGGACATGGATTTGGACTTGATCAATTCAGTATTCCGACTAGTATTATACGTAATCGTAGGACGGGCGTACTTATCATCAGTGATACTGGAAATGACCGTATTATGCTATACTTTCCAGTTGCAACGGATGGTATTGTGATTGCCGGGGGTAATTTAGTCAACCCTAATCCGTTGAACGGACCAGCCGGTTTCTATGTCCATCCAACAGGAGAGAGTCTTGTGATCGCTAATACGTTTAGTCACAACGTTATTCGCTGGTTTCTAAACGACAATACAGTCACAGTTCTTGCTGGCGATATTAATGGAGAGGCTGGTGATACGCCGGTACTACTAAGCTTTCCCAAAGATGTAACTTCCGATTCCCTTGGAAATCTGTACGTGGCTGATACGGGAAATAATCGTATACAGTTGTTTAAGGCTGGTCAAACTGTTGGTATTACCATTGCAGGAGTAGCTGGACTAGCCGATGCTGATCCATCCTCATTACGTCGTCCCACTGCCATTCAACTCGATGATCAAGGGAATTTGTATGTAGCCGACACAGACAATAACCGCATACAAAAGTTCACGTGCATCCAAAATTAAGCTTAGTAGATGTCGATAAAACTTTGAACATGTTTTCTTTTTTTTATTCATTCGCGCGTATTTTAGAAATAGTTTGCTTTTAATTTTCATATCTATTGGCATAGGAACCATGACTAATTTTTATTGTAGTTTTTATCGTACATTATCTCTATACTAATTTTCTTTGATTTTCCTAATAAACCATATATTTTGGGGTGTGGGTAAATTAATCGAAAATAGATCTACTTAGTTCTTGACGAAAAGACAAATTCAATCTGCTCGTCTCAACTTTCCATGCAAAATAATGGGGAAAAATCGAATTAAAATCGATTATAATTAGCCACAATCGATTACAATCGAAGAAACAAACATTCTGCAATACTAATCGAATAAAATTGATTAAGGCCAAGGAGGATACGACTGATTTAACTGACTTTAAGTCATCAATGTCATTAAAAGTCGTTGTAAGTCAATTAAGTAAAAAAAGTCATAAAAGTCATGAAAATCATGTGTAAAGAAATATTAATAAAGAATAAAAGAATAATAGATCTCTCTAGAAGGCATTGCACGTAAGCCACGACCAACGTTGTTCAATCGATGTCATCCATTTGGCTGATATTTTTGCAGTAGGTAGGCCTAACAGACTTAGGAAGAAACTGAAAATTTCCGCTCAAATGAATGAGCTATTTCGGAGATATAGACGATACAAGTATGAGGAGAGGGATCCCATTTGGAGTACCTTATAGTGCAATACCTTCCAGTAAAGTTTCATTTTCTTAAGAACGACAAGAGTTATTACAGAGTTTTTTTTATCACATATACTCTCGACTGTGGGCTATCGTTTGGTGATATTAAAAATATCTTATCATTGGGTAATATTTGCTGGATACTATATACCATTTTTGGAAATGCTGTCTCCGGAGATAAGGCAAGTTGGTCGAATCAGGGCAATAGAATAAATCGAGAGTAGTCTCATTTGAACGAGCACATCCAAATGCATCGACTAACGTTTTCAAAAGTTTGTGGTATTGAACTTTGGTAGCAAAAAGTTTTTGAACAAGACTGGGAAAGTCGAATTTGGAACTCGATTCTCACTATGCAGATTGATGATTTATTTCCAAATGTTTGATTTAAGTATTTCAGATGAAAGCCCATGTCGAGAAACCTCTAAATTAAAAATTTCAGCTCATTTGAGCATGTCTGTGAAAAATGGTACAACATTTATTTTTGTGAAATATCATACGATAGCATATATAGTCCGTCTAATTTTTCTCATCGACATATTTCAGTTAAAGTGCAACCAAGAGATCTGAAATTTTTAGGAGTGGGTGTCTTCTCTCTGACGTCCATACCCACACCCACACCCACACTGTAAACTAGAAAATTAGTTATAGAGTTTAATGAAGGATATTCTAGGAATGCCCATATGAATTCAACGATTAATTTCTACTTTCTTGAAAATAAACTATTGATATTCAAGTTTCGATTTTCTGCAGGAAATCAAATTGAATTTCTATTATTTAGAAAATCAAGTATTTTCTGAAAGTTTGAAAATGCTTTAGCTTATTTAAAGTCGATTTTCTACAAAACAGAATTTAAATAAATTTTACAGTGCACCCACACCCACATTCTCATCGGTTTCTGGGTGCGATGAGTGAGTTCCAGTCAACTTATGTGGGTGAACTATAAGAAGTTCCACTCAACGATACAATTCCTCCTAACTTCATCCACCCAGCCTATCCTCATTTAATCACATCCACGCTCTCAAAATCCCAATAAAGTCGCTCTAATTCTTGCGGATCTTATAACAAAGCTCATACCAAATATTCACAAAATCAAACGAAAAAAGGCTGTAGTTGTCTTTCAAAACGCTATTGTCTGCGTGCCTGCATACAGCCGACCTATGTTCTCGAGGAACACCAATCACCTCGAAAATAGGATACACGAGTACTCATAGTTATAATTTGAATAGTCTAGGTTATTGCAGTGACGCGTAGGGTACGAAGAAGACTAAAAAGTCTATGGAAGCTGTCTCGCAACTTTTCAAGTGTCCTACGTCAGGGAATCGTGAGCGTGCAGCGAAGATCAAATTACACAAGAATGTGCCGTTCTGCAAACCAACCATCGAGCGAATGACTCAGAATGTTGCATGAAAAAAAAAGAACGCTGCGAGCAGGATTTGAACCTACGAGGGAAGATCCCATCTGACTAGCAATCAGACGCCTTAGACCACTCGGCCATCGCAGCTGCATCTTTTTCACTGTGGCTCTACGTTTCAATTACGTCACAGAATCAAGAGCATGTAGCGAAAATGAAATTATGCAATTACTTATGGTTCTGCAAACCAACCATCGAGCGAATGACTCAGAATGCTGCATGAAAAAAAAAGAACGCTGCGAGTAGGATTTGAACCTACGAGGGAAGATCCCATCTGACTAGCAATCAGACGCCTTAGACCGCTCGGCCATCACAGCTGCATCTTTTATGAGTCGGGTTCTGTATCTCATTGAGTAAACGCGGTTTATCAAAATAAAAGCTATGTTCAATATCATGGAAAGTAACGGGTTATGCGAAAGTTTCTGAACAAAACTATAATGATTATTTCTCTTCAAGTATTCAATCGTTTTTTTTGGTTTGAATCAAAAATATAATGAAGTGAAATGAACAAAATTATTTAGCTACAAAATAAAAAATGATCCTTGATTTTCAATTGTCCGCTATTGCTTACGAACGTCTGACATCGTTGTCTGAACGATATTGAGATATACTTTTTTGAGCTGCTGTTTGATTCTGTTGATAAGCTGTTGTTACATTGTGACCATCCAACCTTCTCTGTAAACTTGATCAGCTAATATCGACCAAAAGTCTTCTATCGACCTGACTTTGGGTACTTTGGGTAGATTCACCGATTTCGGCGAAAAATCGATGTTCTGTTCATTAAGCCGTTCAGTGATAGTTTTTGCATAGTGAGAACTGGCGAGATCGGATCAAAATATGTATTCATTGTTTTGATGATGTGTTTTAATAAATGCCAACATTTTCGGTAAACAGTTTTGAACATATACATTACTATTCATAGCTGGACCTTTTGTAGTGCCGATGTTTGGGTTTGAAATATCTTTGCTGGACACTGCCAGCCACACCAACACTTTCGGTTCACATTTTTGCTTCAGTTTAAATTTTACATCACATGGAGTATATACTTTATTTGAGAAGTAAAATCCTGCGTTTCCAGGCATATTAACTGCTGAAAATGTAAAATATTTTCTATTGTTCATAGTGATGAATTGTTGTTATCAATAAAATCTCGACGTAACTTTCGGCACTTCCGTAATGTTTGATCAAGTTGTTTTTGGTTGTACTTTGGTGCTCGTTGTCGTTTATAATATTTCAGGCCTAATTTCTTTACATTACGCATGATACAATAACGTGTGACGGAAAAGTTTCTATGCAATTGACGTTGACAGATGCCAACACGATTCTCTCCACCATTTTCTTTAGTTTGCCCTGTTTTTCCTGGTTCATGTTGAGTGGACGCCATTTTCTCGGTTTGTCCTGAATTGACAGACCATCTTCAGAATGCTTGATAATTGAGTAAATCGTTGATCATGAAATTCCTTTTTTAGGGCTATTTTATAATGTCAACTTTCTTCATCAGTCCAAGACGATCATATTTATGTCGTCGAAGAGCAATTTGTTTTATTGCACATGAACTCATTATTGAAACATTTTATGAATATCTAGAAAGAGAATAACAATGACTGTTCATCCGAATAAAAACGGAAATCAAAACCAAGTATATAAATAGTTCTTTTTGACTAGATATATTGTTCAGAAACTTTCACACCACTCGTTCTTATCGGAAATAACGTTTGCGTGTTTTGCTAGTCCACTGCTATGTTCGCAGACCTCGATTTGGATCTATATTTCCGTTTTCTGAAACAACTCTCATCAATTTCCACCACTTTACTAGGGCCTATTAGTAAATGAGGCTATGTTTTTACTTATTAATAAAACATACATTCAATCTTAATCGAGTTGCTCAAATAATGTTCAGTACACACGTCTCTACAAAAATATCTTCACTTCACAATTGTTCTTTGCAATTCAACATTCAACTTGTGCATTAATTTTTCAATAGAGTCTTCATCTCCACTCCAGTAATCTATCAATTCATATAGTGGTCGATTGAAGCTGAGTTTGGTATAATAGGTAGTAGTTTTAGATTTTGTGAGAAACGAATCATATTTTCTTATGTTAATGTAATTCTATGAATTTTAGACAAGTTCAGCTTGTCTAAATCTTTCACATTGATATCGGTGTCGATTACAGCATGTTCAAGAAACATTGCAGTTTTAAAATATTTGTAGTTTGAACGGGTTTGTCCGATTTATCGCACTTGAATAGCCACCTTATATACTCAACTTGATTTGAATAACAAACTATCAGAACTTTGTTCCCTTTCTTTTCATTAAATCATCTTTCGATGTGAAATAAATTTACGAGACTAATGACCAACCCTTCTTGAAAAGGCATCTATCAATTATCATTTTTTTAAATATCCACTAAAGTCATCCGTAACTGCCATCTACTCATCATTTCTTCTTTTTCTTGTTATGTGAGTAGGATTAAGTTGAATGGTAACTGTTCCACCTATCATTATTGTGATGAAAGTAAAGAAATATCTGATAAGTTATTGACAGATTGTTGTGTAACAGAATAGGATTCAGCCGTAACATACACATGCGAAAGTGCAGAATATAACGTCCACATATCGACGAATGCTGTTAGTCTATCTCTTCACACTCCACCAGTTGAAATTCTTTATCAAATTTTTTATTATCTCGATGAACAAACAATTATGCTGTCTCTTCGAGAAACATGCTCACAATTGAAAGCAATCGTGAATACATACGATCGATCTCCTCTGAATCTAAAGTCAATCTCAAAGCCGCACTTTCACATCATCTGTCAAAACATTCATCTTCCAAAAATAATCTCACTCACACTATCCGATGACAGCCATATACCAGGTCAAATTGAAAGGTTTCTTTCATTGTTTTCTATTCGACAGTTGAATCAACTGTGTTTGTTAACGCTTTTTGCAATCGAAGAGCATCACCTCAATAATATTTTACAATATATCAATACGATTTCAAAATAGCTTCACTCTCGTTTAACGTAACAGAGAATGACCATCGCAATACAAATAGAACAACAGCTCTTTTATTGTCAGTTCTTATGCAACCAAATCTTCGAACATTAACTTAGGCATTGAATACGTTAGAATAAGAACAATAAATTGCCATGTTCAATGTACGATTCAGTATCTGAGAATAATCAAATCAATAAACTTTGATCAATTCTACTCTATTGTCCACAACTTATCTCATGTTCGAACACTCGTATCGGGTAATGTTACAAATATCAAATCGTCTTGTGTAGCACCACATCGACAAATAACTTCATTGACCTTCGAAGATTATTCAATGGAAATGTATAAACTAGAATTGAC